TTAGGAATGGCTTCTTAGAGAGATGCCTTGAAATCTGGGTCTTTATAATGGAGTAGGAGATAGTTATTCACTCAATAAGCATTACTTAACAATGATATAGCTGGGATGAGGTACTGACATGAGTATAGTAACAGACAAAACCTCACACCCCCTGCCTAGCCCTCGGATTGCTTACAGGGGAGGAGTGGGGAGCAGAAGAGGGCAGAGAAATAACTTGCAACTGCAATATAGCGTGACCACTGCTGTTAGTGACATGCCAGGATGTTTGGAGAATTTGAAAGAGGGTCACCTAACTTAGCTGGGGTGTTGGTAACAGGATAAAGGTATTAAGAAATGACTTCCTGGAGAGATAACATTTGAACTTTGTCTGGAAAGAAAAAAAAAGTCAGGTGGAAAAGCGGTAAGCACTTACCAAAAGAGAAAAGGAATTTTGAAAAAAAAACAAACAAACAAAGAAAAGTGAGAGCACACATGTTTTTGGGACTTCAAAATTAAGGTGTACATGGTGCTTGTCAGGAGTGTGAAGCTGGAGAATTAGGCAGGCATTCTGTCTTGAGACATCTTGAATGACATACTAAGGACCTCAGCCATGATGCTGAGGGTTCTGGGTAGCCAGTGATTTAACTGTAGCAAGATTATCCTAGCAGCAATGTGGAGTATGTATTACATGGGAGTGGGGTAGGGGGTGATTACTATTTTCTTGGTAAGAAATGAGGAGGGTCTAAAACTAAGGTATTAGTGGGGCACAGAGAGGAGGGACCACCAAGAGATACAGAAAGTTGCATGGATAACTCTGAGGAGTGACTGCATATGAGAATCAAGTATACGAGTAGGAAGTCTATTGGTTCCCAGGTTTTTGACTTGGGCAACTTGGGAATGATGGCCATTCCCCTAAATAGGGAATTCCTGGGAAGAAGTCTATTGGTGAGGAGTCATGGTGCTGGGGGAAGGGATGAAGGGAATAAGGATAATAAGGTTAGATTTGTAAAAGTGAAGACTGAGAATGATGTCCTGAGTAATATTCAGGTGAAGACGTGTGGTAGGCAGTTGGAGAAATAGGTCTGGAGATGTTTCCTAAGGATAGATCTCAGGAGAGAGACCTGGGTGGGAGATATAGATTTTTTTTTCATCATTAGCATGTAAATGGTAATCAGATATATAGTGTTAATAAAGTTATTCAGAGAGAATTTACAGAGTGAGGAGAAGAGAGACCTGAAGATAAAACCCTGGAAGCATCACTATGGACAGGTCAGGACGAAAAAGATAATGCTGAAAGAGATGGAGAAGAAACAGCTGAGGAAGCAGGAAAAATAAAGAACAGGAGGAAGCCATAGATGAAAATCAGAGAAAGACAGTGTTTCAAGAAATAGGAAATACTCCACAGAGTCTATTAAGAATAAAAAAGGGCAGCTTTGGCAATTAGGAGATCGATGCCCACGTTGGTGAATCAGAAAAGTGGTGTCGTGGGAAATATTCTGGCAGACAAGACAGTGCAAACATGTTGTGGGTAAGGAGGGGAGCTCCATGTGCCTGGGACATGGGGCGGGGTAGGGGAAATCAGGTTATGAGACCAACTGGCTTTCCCCAATCCCAATAAGCCTTCAACGCCACGCTCTGCAGTCGGGCTTTATTCTGTAGGCAACAAGGAACAAAACACATAGGCCAACTTGTTTTGTTTTGTTGTTTTTTTTTTTTTTTGGTATTAAGTCGTTTTTCAAGATTGAGGTGGTTTTTCTGCAAAGCAAAATGCATAGATCTTAAGGGTTCAGTTCAAGGAGTTTTGACAAATGTGTAACCAACACCCTGGTCAACATAAAATATTTTCATCACCCCTGAAATTTCCCTTGTGCCCAATTCTAGTCAAATCTTTACTCCCTACGTGCAACTATTTCCTCATTTGGATCCTTCAGATTACTTTTGTCGATTCTTGAATGTCATATAAATGAAATTATGAGGATGTAAACTTTGTGACTTGTTTCCTTTGTTTAACATATTGTTTCTGAAACTTATCCATGTTGTTGAGCAAATTAACAATTTATTCTCTCATTGCTGGGAGCATTATTATAGATGTAGATCACAATGTTTAATTCATTCTTCTATTTGATGCACATTTAGGTTGTTACATAACACCTCTTAGGTTGTTACAAGCCTTTGGCTATAATAAATAACAGTGTCAAAAACATTCTTCTGCAAGCCCCCCTTTTTTTTGAAACATGTTTTCATTTATTTTTAGGTAATTACCTGGGGGTGAAACTGCTAAATCATAAAGTAGCTATATTATAACTTTACGAGAAAGTTTCTAAAGTGACTGTCCATTTTCATGCCCCGTAGAGTTCCAGTTGCTCCACACTCTTGGTCTTTGCCATTTAGTGTTTTCGATCCTTTAAATGTTAGCCATTCTCATCAGTATGAAGTGGTAACTCACTGTGGGTTTAATTTGCATTTCTGCAATGAGTAATGATGCTGAACACTTTCCAAGTGCTTATCATTTGTGTATCTTCATTTGTTAAGTGCTCAAGACTTTTGCCCATTTATATTTGTTAGATGTATGTTGAGAGAAATGATAGTTGTCTGCACATTTTATATTGAAGGTAATTGATATTTACTGACACATTCTAAAAGGGCTTAAAATAGAACCATTTATGCATTCTGTCAATGAAAAACTGAATGACTCTGAAATATGAAAAAAAGTCTTGCCTGTGTAATGTCAGATAACTTTAAATTGTATAAAAGACTTTAAATTTAAATAACTTTATTTTTTGTCTTATCATTATGTTTATTACATGTCAAGCTCTTTGTAGTTGGGACCATGTTTTCTCTATTGACTAAGGGGCAGATCTTTGGCTTAGCAGCAGAGAAAACCCATGCCATCCAGCCAGTTTGTCTCAAATTGAGCCAGGAACCAAATCAGCGCCATTCATGCTGAGGTGAGGTTGTCTGTTTCTGTATTTAGCAATGGATGCTGTCAGAAACACAGAAAAGACAGACACAGGGACTATTTTTGAGTTTGCACATGGGAGCACATGCATTGTGTGGGAGACTCTGCAACCTGGAGTCATCTTGGGCATTTGGTTGTGAGGGCTGGCGTGGGCATCTTGGTTTTAGCTGAATCCTGGCACATTGCTATAGGTACATTGCCATAGGTATGTTGCTATAGGTACCTCTGAGGCAGGAGAATAGGGCCTGGAGGCAGGGAAACTAAGGACATCCTAGAACCAAATCAGGTGGAAACACTTCAGCTATGACAGGAAATACCCTCTGATTTACATAGGGCGTACACCAAGTAAATAACTTTGTAACTTCATCTTAGCCTCCCTCATTTACATAGTGTGTACCAAATAACCGATGGAAACCTCTATAGGTATTTAAACCCCAGAAAATCCTTGAGCGGCTTGGTCAGGTCAGCTCCCACCCTGTGGAGTGTACTTTTTCAATAAATCTCTGCTTTTGTTGCTTCATTCTTTCCTTGCTTTGTTTGTGCGTTCTGTCCAGTTCTTTGTTTAAGAACCTGGACACCCTCCACCGGTAACACTTCTCACTTCTGGCCTTGAGTCTAAATCATTCTTGTGTTTTCATTACTACTTCTTACTTTTTGAGGCAGAGTTTTGCTCTTGATGCTCAAGCTGGAGTGCAATGGCATGATCTCGGCTCATTGCAATCTCTGCCTTCCGGTTTCAAGCGATTCTCTTGCCTCAGCCTCCCGAGTAGCTGGTATTACAAGCATGTGCCACCACGCACGGTTAATTTTTGTATTTTTAGTAGAGACGGGGTTTCACCATGTTGGCCAAGCTGGTCTCAAACTCCTGACCTCGTGATTCACTCGCCTCGGCCTCCCAGAGTGCTGGGATTACAGGGACGGGCCACCACGCCCGGCCGAATTCATTATTTTTAATGCAGATGTCCAGAACCAATTTTAGACCTATTGTGTCGGTCTCTTTGTGGATAGTGCCCAGCATGCAACGTTTTGAAAATAATCTAGGCCAGGCGCGGTGGCTCACGCCTGTAATCCCAGCACTTTGGGAGGCCTAGGCGGGTGGATCACGAGGTCAAGAGATCGAGACCATCCTGGTCAACATGGTGAAACCCTGTCTCTACTAAAACTACAAAAAAAAAAAAAAAAAAATTAGCTGGGCATGGTGGCGCGTGCCTGTAATCCCAGCTACTCAGGAGGCTGAGAAAAAAAAAAAAAAAAAAATTAGCTGGGCATGGTGGCGCGTGCCTGTAATCCCAGCTACTCAGGAGGCTGAGGCAGGAGAATTGCCTGAACCTAGGAGGCGGAGGTTGCGGTGAGCCGAGATCGCGCCATTGCACTCCAGCCTGGGTAACAAGAGTGAAACTCTGCCTCAAATAATAATAATAATAATAATCTAAGGTGACTATAGTGTGCACCTTCTGCAAACCAGTGTACGCTCACATGCAAGTCTGATTTAGGGTCCTGGGCAGACGAACCTACAATCAGGAATCAATGGAGTTGGAGTAGATACATTAACTTTTAAGGAGAGCCTCATTTCTCGTAAAAAGCAAGAGACCAGGCCGGGCGCTGTGGCTCACGTCTGTAATCCCAGCACTTTGGGAGGCCAAGGCCGGCGGATCACGAGGTCAGGTGCTCAAGACCAGCCTGATCAACATGATGAAACCCCGTCTCTACTAAAAATACAAAAATTAGCCGGGCTTGGTGGAGAACGACTGTAGTCCCAGCCTGTAATCCCAGCTACTCAGGAGGCTGAGGCAGGAGAATCGCGTGAAGTTGGGAGGCTGAGGTTGCAGTGAGCCCAGATCGAGCCATTGCACTCCAGCCTGGGCGACAGAGCAGACTCTGTCTCACAAACAAACAAACATAAAACAAGAAACCAGATAGGTTCTAGGCAGGGTTGGTGGCAGGAACCCAAGGCGCGCTGAACCGGACCAAGTCTGGCTGAGATCCCCCTCTCAGCGGCCGCGCGCCCGGCTCCGTCAGCGCACGCGCACGCAGGAGCTGGCCTGTCCTGTGCGCACGCATCGCGCACGCCGGCGCCTTCTTCTGGGAGCCCGGGCTGGCGGCGCGGGCGCGCGGCAAATGGAGGGGGTGCTCGCGGAAGCGCTGCTCTCGGAGAACCGGGACCCTCGGGCCCTGCTTGGGGCGCTGTGCCGCGGGGAGGCGTCCGCGGAACGCGTGGAGACGCTGCGTTTCCTTCTGCAGCGGCTCGAGGACGAGGAGGCGCGCGGCGGCGGGGGTGGAGGCGCGCTCCCGGAGGCGGCGCGCGAGGTGGCCGCAGGGTACCTCGTGCCGCTGCTGCGGAGCCTGCGCGGGCGCCCGGCGGGCAGTCCTGACCCGGGTCTGCAGCAGCGCCACCGCCGGCGCGTGCTGAGGGCGGCGGGCGCGGCCCTGCGCTCGTGCGCCCGCCTGGCCCGGGGTCCGGAGCTGGCTACTGCGCTGGCTAAGGAGGCGCTGCGCGATCTGCTCGCGGGGTGGCGCGCGCCTGGCGCCGAGGCTGCCGTGGAGGTGCTGGCGGCTGTCGGGCCCTGTTTACGGCCCCGCGACGACGGGCCACTGCTGGAGCGCGTGGCGGGGGCCGCCGTCGCCCTGGCGCTGGGTGGGGGCGGAGACGGGGATGAGGCTGGGCCCGCGGAGGACACGGCGGCGCTGGTGGCCGGGCGACTGCTGCCGGTGCTGGTCCAGTGCGGCGGGGCGGCGCTGCGGGCCGTGTGGGGCGGGCTGGTCGCGCCGGGGACTCCCCCGGGGTCGGGCCGCGTAGAGGCGAAGCTGCTGGTCCTGAGCGCCCTGGCGGAGAAACTGCTGCCCGAGCCGGGCGGCGACCGCGCCCCTGGCACGCGCGAGCCGGGCCCGGACGCCCGGCGCTGCTGGCGCTTCTGGAGGACGGTGCAGGCGGGGCTTGGCCATGCGGACGCCCTGACGCGCAAGCGAGCGCGCTACCTGCTGCAGAGGGCGGTGGAGGTGTCGGCGGAGCTGGGGGCCGACTGCACCTGCGGGCCCCAGGAAGGAAACGGTACCCGCCTTCTTGCCCCCCAGCCCAGTCCTGCCTACTTGGCTGACCCGGAAGGGAGCCTCCCTGCTTCTGAAATCTAGCTTCTTGGGGCCGTCACTCCGATCCTTACAGGATTTGGTTTTTCCGGGTTGCTCCCCTAAAGCCCGAAAACCTTTGGGACCCCCTCTCGAGGGTGTTCTCTGCAGTGATACAAATCACTGCAGTTGAGAACGTTCTGACCCAGAGCCGGTGACCCGTGGAATAGTTTAGGAAGATGATGGAGCCCGTGCAAGATTTTACAGACCCATATCTGCACTTTATCATGGCAGATTCATCCCAGTAGGAACCGTTGACAGCTATCAAATTGAAAGGAAAATTATCTGTACTGGCCAGTGAATTGAGTCTTGGAGTGTTAGAATTAAGCGTCGTAGAGGCCATCACACTCTTTTGAAATTTCCCCTGGTAATTAGGAACAGGCTTTACTAATATTTGTTAAACATGTCGAGCTTTTGAGTGTAAATTGCTATTGATTTAATAGAATGAATCAGTTTTTCTTTTTAACATTGTTGAGCTGTGCTCCCTGCTACTTTGTGGAAGAGTAATGAAACAGCAAGGCCTCCCTTCATGGTAGTATATTACTGTTTTTTTTTTTCTTTTTAAATTTTTTTTCTTTTTTTTTTTTTTTTTTAAAGATGGGGTTTCACCATGTTGGTCTCGAACTCCTGACCTCAAGTGATCCACCCACTTCGGCCTCCCCAAGTGCTGGGATTACAGGCGACTGTTGATTGGTTTGACTTCAGTCATGTTAAATTTGCGTTTGAACTATCAAAGTACAAAGTAGATTGACTCAAAATTGTCTCAAAATAGAATATTTCTACTTTTTCACCTGCAGCTGACCATTTGTTACAGGTAAAGGATTTTCGTTTGAAGTTGTGAGGTTATATTTTCAAGTAATTTTAAAACATTAGATAGTAAATATTTGAACAGTCCACAGATGGGTGTGATCATCCCGTGAGTTTTCAGTGGAAAACATTTGAAAAATCATCAAAGTTAAACGTTCATATAGTTGAATTAATAAGATATTTTGCAGTGTTAAGGGTAAGCAATAGTCTATCCATGTTTCCCGTGACTCCCATTTCCTCTGTTACAGAAAGCAAATCCTGTTGCCTCTTTCGGTGGAATATTTTGGGATTTACCACCATGTCTTGACTTAATATGTCTTAGTTATAAAATATAGTCACAGTTAAAATTTTGGTTAAAAGCATGTTCAGCATTTATAAAATTATGACTGTAAATGCTGCTCACAGGTGATCTTTGTAGGAAACTGATACTTTTTCTTTTCCTGCGAGTTCTTAAAATTTTTTTCTTTTTTCTTATTTCCAACAAACCCACAGCAGAGTTCTTAAAATTTTGACATTTTAAAATGTGTTTAGTTCTTTCTATACTTACCATGAATTCCTCCTTAAATTCTTAGCCAGTTGTCTAAATCTTTCCTCTACAAAATCAGGTATCAGAGGTGTTTTTTTTTTTGAGACAGTCTTGCTCTTGTTTTCCAGGCTGGAGTGCAGTGGTGTTATCTTGGCTCACCGCAACCTCCCCCTCCTCCCCCACCGCAGGTTCAAGCGATTCTCCTGCCTCAGCCTCTGAAGTAGCTGGGATTACAGGCATGCACCACCATGCCCAGCTAATTTTGTATTTTTAGTAGAGACGGGATTTCTCCACGCTGGTCAGGTTGGTGTAGAACTTCCGACCTCAGGTGATCTGCCTGCCTCGTCCTCCCAAAGTGCTGGCATTAACAGGCGTGAGCTACCATGCCCACCCTCATCAGAGGTTTTATAAGTTTTCCTGAAGAAGCCTCTCCCAGAGTCCTCTTACATGCCCAGATGTGGCTGCTGTCCCCCCTTGCCTGGTGCACAGACCCTCACCCCAGGATTCCCTTCCCTTGGGTGCCCTGTTGGATCTCATTTCCTGTAGTGCATATCTTCTTTTTTGCTTTACTCACTTGTGTCAGTGCAGTGCATTCTCTAGCAGTTTCCTGAAATAGGATTTTTTTAAAGCTTCTGTATGTCCGATAACTCCATCACACTGCTTTATGTCTGCTGTCATGTTTTTATTCTCTCATTTCCATTTGACACTTTTGGAGTTACTCTCCTGAAAATCCTCATCTGCTCATCTGTTTATGCATGTTTACCTTTTCCATGAGATCCTTTAGCATGTTAATTATGGTTATCTGCAAGTTCGATACCTGGACCATCTAAGTTTGGGTTTGTTCTCTGTTGTGTTTGGTTATGGAATCGCTTTTTTTTTTTTTTTTACTATAATAACAGAGATGGAAGTAAATATTTTTGCCTAGGGATAGGCACCCTTACTTTGTGGCGTTGAGTTAGTCTAGTTGGTAGTTGAGCTGGGTTTGGCATTTGTTGGTATATTTGCTTTCAGTGCACGCTACAAACTTTTCCCAGGTGGATTTGGTGGCTCCTTTACTGTTATAGGAGATTCTTGGGGAGAGAAAGTAGAGCTTAAATGTGCAAATCTGCCATTTTTACCCAGAACTCCAAAACTGTAATCCCAGTTAAAAAAAAAAAAAAAAAAATCTCCCTCTGAAATTCCCAAGCCTCCTATCCAGGCTTTGATACAGGGGCAACTCCATTATTAGAAAATACATTTGGTAATAGTGGCATTATTTTAAGAACTGCTGTTGTTGAGAAACTTATGAAATTTGCAAAAGGAAGAACTAATTATCTTTTTTAAACCATATCAGGCCCAAGTTTGTTTTGGTGGTCTGAGAAGAAAAAAGATGAGCTTCTGAAGTTTTGGGAAAATTATATTTTAATTATGGAGACTTTAGAAGGAAATCAGGTAAGTGTTTTTTGATTTTAGCAAACCCTACAGTAGATAATTTTTCTTTTTTAAAAACATTCATTAAAAGCAATACAAAAAGACCAACTCAGATATAGCTGGTGATGATAGAATCCAAGTATACTTTGTTTTCTGGTATAAATGTAACTTAGAATGTAAGTTCTTTCAGGAAATTAAATAATACTTTCAGTTAACCTAAATTATTCAAAAAATTTAATCTTATTTGATCTTCCCTTGCCATTCTAAAACTTTTAATGTTTCTCAGCATCACCCAAATAGCTTGTCGTAAAGCATAAATTGCTGATGTATTTTCATTTCATATGTTTTTATGCTCTTATTTTTAGATACATGTTATAAAGCCAGTTTTACCAAAGCTGAACAATCTGTTTGAATATGCAGTGTCAGAGGAAAACGGTAATGATTACTTTTATTTGATTTTTTAATAACGTTCATGGTTTTCTCCTCTGATATTTATAACTAATTCCTCTTCATTGTAGAGAATTTTGAGAAACTATAAAAGTTACAGAAGAAAATATGAATCATCTTGTAATGCTGCTACCAAGAGATAATAGCTATTACCATTCCAGATTCACCCCTTCTGGATCATGTTGTCCATGTTTATTTCACTTAGCATAATGTCTATATCCATCTCCTCATATCCTTAAATAGCCTTTAAGAACACAATTTTAAATAACTGCGGAATTTTCTATAATTTAGAGATATGGTTAATTTTTTAAACAGTGGTGATGGAAAATTTCAAACATTTATAGAAGGAGGAGAGCGTGTATGGCGCACTCACACACTTAAATAACGATCCTCTCATGGCCAGCCTTGCTTAGCGTATCATATATGAAGTCTTTCCTGTTCCCTTCTCACTAAATGGTTTTGAAGCACATCACTAGATGTCCTGTCATTTTATCTATAAATATCTCAGCACATTTCCTTAAAAGATAAGTTTGTAGGGTTTTAATGATAATAGAGTCTGTGGTTTTAGTACTCACTGTTTTGTTTTGTTTTGTTTTGTTTTGTTTTATTTTGTTTTGTTTTGTTTTGAGATGGAGTCTCGCTCTGTAGCCCAGGCTTGAGTGCAATGGCACGATCTTGGCTCACTGCAACTTCTGCCTCCTGGGTTCAAGCGATTTTTTTGCCTTAGCCTCCCAAGCAGCTAGGATTACAGGCATGTGCCACCATGCTTGGCTAATTTTTGTATTTTTAGTAGAGATGGGGTTTCGCCATGTTGGCCACGCTGGTCTCAAACTCCTGACCTCAGGTGATCCACCCACCTTGGCCTCCCAAAGTGTTGGGATTACAGGTGTCAGCCACCGCAATTGGCCAACAGTTGCTCTTTGGTATGAATATAACTGCTTTTCATTCTTACTCTCTTAGTATATCTTTTCCAGTGTTGTTAGAGTTACTTTTCTTAAGCTTTCAGTTATTGTTCTGTATCTTGTACTTCTTAGGAAGAGAAAATACCAGGATATAAATTTAAATACTATTTATAAGCCCTTGATCACTATCTTATGAGAGCTTTTTAGGAGATATGCAGTGAAGCTGGAGCTTCCTAAACTTATTTTATAAAATTAAATTTAGATTAATAAAATAGCTAAATGCAGGCCAACAGTGTTTTATGTTCGTATGAATGCTAAAATGCTACATTATTGTGTTTACACATGAGAATTAACCTAGGTAAATGGTTTTTAGTGCCTACTCTAGATAATTACAACTTTAATAGTTTGACCTCTTAGGAATTGAGCTTTATTCAATTCCTTTATTGATTGCTGTAGTTGTTTTCTGATATACTGGGATTTTTCACAGAACATAAGCATCTGTAGTTACACCTGGGGCTGGAATTTAATTGAATCTTGTTGTGACCTCACTTATGCATTTACCGTTAAAACGATGCTCTTATTACTGCATTTTGCCCACAGCTCTTGGCAAACCAAATCAAATAGCAGTGACTGATTTTGAAAAATTACCATCGCCAAAGAGTTGAACAAGCATCTTGGTGTAAATGACAAATAATGGATTAATTTATTTATATAATGTCATGGGTTAAAGATGCTAAGTATTTTTCTCTAATAAAATTAAAAGATATTTCAAAAGAGAAAACATCTCTAAGATATTCATTTATTCTATTTTTTTATTTGCTCACTCATTTATTTACTTAATAAATATTTACTTAGTGTCTAGTATGTTGGTATAAAACCTAGTAATTACTGGTGGTAAAGTGGTGAGAGAGCTGCAGTATTTTTCACGTGACTTTTGTTTTTTCTATGAAAAAATAGTTTTGATTGTAAGGTATATGAGGGGAACAGACAAGGGGCTGATGAAATGGACTAGAGGGTGAGTGGGGTAGTCAGGGAAGGCCTGTCTTAGGATCACATCTAAGCTCAGAGTTCAGGCTGAGGAGGCACCACCTGCTATGCAAGCCCTGAGATGGGAGCAGCTGTAGGAGGCAGAACAGAACGACCAGCAGGGCTGCTGCAGAGCTGGTGTGTGGAGCAAGGGATGAAGTTGGAGTGGCAGTCAGGATCCATTCATCCCTTCTTTGGACTTTGTTCTAAGAATAATTGGGAGATGTTGAAGGAATTTAAGCAGAGGAGTGAGAGTTTCAGATTTCTGTGTGAAAAATGGATTGAAGTGGAATAAGAGTATTGGTTGAAACTATTCCAAATCTGAAGTTCCAACCTGCATACATGGGGTAGTATTTAATTTTTCTACACTGTAGCAGTTATAGCATTTAGTTATAGCCTTCCTTATTTTTTCAAGACAGAGCCTCACTCTGTTGCCCAGGCTGGAGTGCAGTGGTGGGATCTGGGCTCACTGCAGCCTCCACCTCCCAGGTTCAAGGGTTCAAGTGATTCTCATGTCTCAGCCCCTTCAGTAGCTGGGATTACAGGCAAGTACCGCCATGCCTGGGCTAATTTCTGTGTTTTTAGTAGAGACAGAGTTTTGCCATGTTAGCCAGGCTGTGCTTGAACTCCTGGCCTCATGTGATCCACCTGCCTCAGCCTCCCAAAGTGCTGAGATTACAGGCATGAGCCATTGCACCTGGCCCATTTACAGTCAATCAAAATGAAGCTGCCTGAATGCAGAATACTGAATACCAAAATTATTTTGGTTATTCAGTAAGAGAACGTATTCGGCTGTGACTGAAAACAGGCTGAGTGTGGTGACTTATGCTTGTAATCCCAGTGCTTTGGCAGGCCAAGGATAGAGGATCACTTGAACTCAGGAGTTCGAGACCAGCCTGGACAACATACTGAGACCATGTTAAAAATTTTTTAAACATTGTCTGGGCATGGTGGTGCATGCCTATAGGCCTACTATTCAGGAAGCTGACACAGGAGGATTGCTTGAGCCCTGGAGTTTGAGGCTGGAGTGAGCTGGAATTTTGCCACTGCACTGCAATCTGGGTGACAGAGTGAGAACCTGTCTCTCAAAAAACAATAACAAAAACTTTTATAGTGTTGTAATGAAGTAACTGTGTTTGTCTATACATGTATTTATGAGTATATACTCTTTATGGCAAAACAGAGAATCAAATATCAACATTAGCTGTTTATTTCCACAGGATGTTGGCTCTTTCACCCATCCTGGCATATGTGTATTTATAAAAGAATGTTTGAAAGTGAAAACAAAATCCTGACCAAAGAAGGTGTTATCCACTTTTTGGAGCTATATGAAACAAAGATTCTTCCATTTTCACCAGAATTTTCTGAGGTATGACAGCCTGTCCCCTTCCTTGCTCCGTTGTTGAAAGATAAATGGTAAAAATACACTAGGACTCTGCATCAGCAAGTAACATTTTATGGATTTGCATCCAACAAATCATATTTCTCTAAACCTAGCCATCCTATTTGGAAAAAGCTAGTGTTGTTTCTCAAGAAGCAGAACAGTAGAACTGCCTGCATTATTACCATCATGGAAAAGTAGTTCTATGTTATCAATATTCAAAACAGCGGAAGTCAAGAATCATATGCATAAGTCAAGTTTTCACCATAGGAAAACTGTGGTCTAGAAGCTTTCAGGTGATACTGTCCTCATGGTTCTGATCCCTTGATTACTGCTGTTTAGTGATGCTACTTCCCCAGTTCTGACTGAGTGAATTGCTGTTGTCTACTATGTGAAACAGAGATTGCCTTCTGATCAATATTTGTTAGAATCTATACTTCCATTTGTCAGGAGCTACACGAGGCAGAGACAGTGGGAGTTACAGCTGTGATTTTAAGTTTTATATTACGGTGCTGTGTGTGTCCCATGATGACTTCCTTAGGTAGAGTAACCTGCCTCTCATTTAAAGGTGACCTAAGTCAATTTTTTTCTTTTTT